GTCTCAACCTTCCTAATGCCGCGACCCTTTAATACAGTTCCTCATGTTGTGGTGACCCCCAATTTCATTGTTACAAATTGAACATAATTAAAGCATAGTGATTAATCACAAAAACAATATGTAATTATATATGTGTTTTCCGATGGTCTTAGGTGACTCCTGTGAAAGGGTCATTCGGCCCCCAAAGGGGTCGCGACCCACAGGTTGAGAACCACTGCCTTAACCGGTCCTGTCTTAGCCCTGACCCATCTCTGTGGCCAGAAAAGCGAGATGTGCCCATTGGATCGGGGCAGTGAGAGCCTACTCATAGAATGGGGGAAGGGTCGAGTTCACTTAAAATTAGGATTTCATGCCAGGCTGGTGTGGCTCAGTGGTTTAGCATCAACCCAAGAAGTCACGGGTTTGATTCTCCAGTCAGGGCACATGCCTGGTTTTGGAAGCTCAATGTTTCCATCCCTTTATCCCTCACCCTTCCTCTCTCTCTAAAAATCAATAAAAACGTATTTTTAAAAAGTAGTGTTGAATGCAAACTGTAATAGAAAAATAAAAATTAAAAAGAAAATTAGGATTTCATAAAGAGGAGTGTTCCCATATGCACGCGTGAAAAACAGGGTGCTGCTACCCGAGAAGAGATGCTGGGGAGGGAAAAACACACAATGACCACAGGAAGAAGGCACCTGATTGGGGTCACCCAGCTCGTCAGCATCAGCGCTAGGTCTCAGGTGATCAGCCCCCAGTGATTTCTTCCTAACCTTATGCCACCTGAGGCTTTGCTTCCAGCAATGTTCCTGGGGACATCAGGTGGTCAAGGGCCAAAGTGGGTTAGGAAGAAACATAGGAATGATAAAAGTTAAGAGAGGTCACAAGTCCTTAGGATCTTCCGGTGGCCCAGGGTCACAAACTAGGCCAAAGTGGACGAGAGGGTAACAGGGCAAAAGGCACGGCGCCAGGTGGGGAGGCAGGGAGACAAGCTGCCGGGACAGCTGGCCCAGCCCACGTTCCCGTGTCCTGGAATGAGTCAGACCACAGAAGCCAGGGAACTTTCAAGATCTGTGAAGAGCCGGTCAGGAGCAGCCCACCGTGGTTTCTAAAAGCGTCTCTAGTTTCTCTGTATGGTCAAGTTATTGCAGGTGACTCTGTCATTCCTTCCTCTCTGCCTTCTCTGTCACACAGTTTTGCTGGTTCTGGTTATTTTTAGCTCAGTCCGGGCCCTTGGGGAAGCATCATATCCAACTCTCTTGTTTTGCAAAAGACAGAAATGAGATTCTGAGTTGACACAGGTCACATGCTTACTATCAGAGCTGATCTCCGATGGGGGTCTCCAGGTGTCCAGCTCAGGATTCCACGCACCTGACTGTCTCCAGCCACCTCTTCGTGGTCTCAGCAAGGCACCCATCCGGGCTCTGCCTTGTTAAAGCGATGATGTTCTCCTGGGACTCACGGGTCCAGGCAGTTCTTACCTTAGAAACAGGGTGAGAAAGAAGATTGAGAACAGTTCCCGGGCTTTGTGTTTTAAAGGTTCCCAGTCTCTCTCACAAAGCTCACTAGACCAAGAGTGAAAATTCATTGCAAGCCAATGCTGAGTCCTGTCTCTCCCCCTAAGGGCTGGACACTGGGACACTGAACTTGGCGCATCTTTACAGCAGGGATCTCCGAAGCATGCTTGTTGTTGGGGAATTGGCCTGCAATCAGCCCAGGGCCCACTTAATTTCTTTGCTCTTGAATAGTGGCTTCCCTTTTCCTTTTTGCACTCTGTGCACTTGCACAGAGACTCAGGGTCTCTGCTCCGCTGGGCCATCTTGAAAGTCTTAATGGTTTTATCTTGGAACTTGTGTTTTGTCAGTGAAGTCCAGTGGGACAATGGAACATGCCTGGGAACAGAGGAGATGCTGATAATAATGGACACAGCCTCCCATGGAGCATTCACGATGCCCCTGAGCACAGAATTCAGTTGCACCCGCGATGCATGAAGTTCAGCGAGACTCAGAGTGAGTACAAGGCGAGTGTGTTACATTTGCCACCGAGAGGCCACGCTTCTGTTCAAATCAGAACCTGCTTGGAACACAGGAGAAGGCAATGGCATTCTAAGAAACGCAAATGACTAAGGATCCCCCATCACATCCTTATGCATGCTACTTCCATGAATTAGCCAACACTTAGGCTGAAATTGTAACATGGGAGGGAAGGGAAAGATAGGAAAACCAGTAATTCCTTTGTCTCTCGGTTCTTCCTTGCTCATCAGTGAGGCAAAGGCGGGCCATGTAGGTAGGATATGCACAGATCAAGAAGTGAAATAAAAACAATCGAGCTATTTATTTTTGCAGCATTTGTGCTGTTCTGGTAACAAGGATATCCATACGTGTGCGTGAGCTACAAAACACAATTGTGCAATTTCAGTGAATCTGCAATCGAGTTCAATGCTCATATTTGCCCTTAACGCTAACATTGCACAATATAGAGACGAATGGTAAAATTCATGCTCATAATCTTAAGTTATTCTTAGATCAGCACCAAATAACAAATATAAAACACCATAAGATGGGAGAGAGAATTCTTAACTTGAAAGAAAAAAGAGAAAGCTTTACATTTTAGTATATTTAATGACACGTTTTTTCCTGTGTTATGAACAAAGGGGGCCCACATTTTCCTTTTGTCCTTGAACCCCATAAATTGTGAAGTCCTCCCTGCTTTTCTGGCCTCAGAAATTAGCTCCTCAAATTCTGTTGCTTCAAATCAATAGCTTGAACCACTTGCTATTTTGATCCCTCGTCAGTACCTAGCCATTTGTCTTTGAAATATTAAGTTGTTCCTTATGCTTAATGCTGTTGAATTTATAGTTTGCTGTATTCGTTTGCTAGGGCCACCATAACATAATACCACAGACTGAGTGGATAGAACAACAGAAATTTATGTTATCACAGTTTTGGAGGTTAGAAGTCCAAGAGCAAAGTGTTGGCAGTTTTGGTTTCCTCCAAGGCCTCTCTCCTTGGCTTGCAGACAGCCGCCTTCTGTAAGAAGAACTCACATGGTCACATGATCTTTCCTCAGTGTGTGCATCCCTGGTGTCTCTCTCTGTCCAACTTTCCTTTTCTTATAAGGACTTTCATCAGATTGGATTAGGGTCCATATGAAGGCCTCATTTTCGCTTAATCATGTCTTTAAAGGCCACTATCTCCAAATATAGTCACATTCCGAGGTACTAGGGTTAAAACGTCAACATACAAATTTTGAATTTTGTATTCACCCCCAAAACAAGGGTTTTCACATTTTTTAATGTTTATAACAGCCTTGAGGGAGCAACCAGTGTACATATTTTGTAAATCCATTCATTCATTAATTTGACAAATACTGGGTGCTTACTAAGTGCCAAGTATTGTAGGCTAGATGCTAAATATATGACAATCAAGGAGACAGGCAGGTCCTCACTCTCATGGAAATTAGGCTCTAGTGGGAGGGACAGGCAAAAAGCAATAAAACAAATAAAACAATCGCAGACTGTGATAAATGCAAGTAAGACCACAAGGTGCTGTGATAGAGAATAAAATGGGAGGGATTTTTGATAGGGTCAGGGAGGGCCGTTCTGAGGAGGTAAGAGTTATCCTGGTTAAACACTGAAAAGGGTTCCTTAACGCAAAAGAGCTCAGGAAAGGCAAGAGCACAGCCAAAAAATAGCAAGTGTGGGGGCCCAGGGGTGGGCAAGAGCTTAATGTGCCCTAGGTATTGACACAAAGCCAGTGTGCTGGATCATAGGCTGGGATGTGACGTGTGGAATGAGATGACAGGAGCAGGGCCTGTCGATCTTGGTTTAGGAATTTAGCATGGGTTCTGAGGGCAACAGGAAGTCACGGAAGGGTTGCTGGTGGGAGAGAGAGGACATGATCTGCTCTGCAGTGTGAAGGGTGGATTGGCGGTGGGCAGGGTGGGAGGTGGAGAAACTGAGTCTCAGAAGCATTCAGTTTAGACTGCATTTCACACAACTGCTGAGTGATGGGGCTGGGCAGATACCACAGGGGGCAGGGATGTTGCCTTATAACCCCACAGACATGGAGGAGGGCGCCCCCTGTGATTTCAAATTCTCTTTAACCCTCTTTTGAAGGCAGGTCTTCTAGGGAGTGAGGGAGGAATCTCCCAGCCCTTGATTATGGAATGTACAGAAATTCCCCAACCACATTTCCAAAAGACACATATAGACATTTGAGGTGAAGAGAAGGAGCTGAAGCTGGGTTGGAAATGGAATAAACAGAAGGAGGTCATGGGCTGGATTTGGCCAAAGGCTATAGTTTGCTGACCCACCTACTAAAAATAAGAAAATTACTGTGCTTAGCCTTCCTTCCCCCTCATTTTCCCAGATTTTGCTAATATTATTTTCACCGTATTAGGGCTTATGATATGTATATTCTTCTGTGCTAACTTCATGTGATTAGCCTGAGCTGTGAAATTTGAAAACTCTGCGCTTATCTTAGTTCATTTGGGCTGTTATCACATGAGACTTGTAACAACAAACATTTATTGCTCTCAGCTCTGGAGGTTGGGAAGTCCAAGATCATGGCCGTGTCAGTCCGGTGTATAGTGAGGGCCCACTTCCTGGACAGCCGTATGGTCACTGCAGCCTCACGTGGAGGAAGGGGTGAGGGATTGCTCTGGGGCCTCTTCTATAAGAACGCTAATTCCATTCATAAGGGCCCCACCCTCCTGACCTAAGCACCTCCCAAAGGCCCCACCTCCTAGTACCATCACCTTGGGGGTTAGGATTTCAACATGTGAATTTTAGGCGCAAAAAAACATTCAGACCACAGCAATATTTCACACTAGTTTTATTTTTCTCATAGTTTTTTCATCCATGAGCTTTTCATTATTATTCAACTCTTGTTCAATGGGGATTATTTGTCAAATAGCTTCGTTGTTTGTGCTTTGAAAGGAGTTTGTGAGTTTTCTATTTCTTGAACTCTTTCATCTCAGAAAAGCTCTTTCTTCTATTTGCAGACTTGATAACACCGACTTGGTGTAATAGTCTCAGGTCCCCTTGTTTCTCTCAGAGGGTTGCGGTCCCTGCTCATGGTCTCTGGGCATTGGAGTTGCCATGGAGAAGCTTAAATCCCACCTGACTTCTTCCCTTCACCAGGCTGACTGGCCTTTGTCTCCCTGAATGTCTGAAGGATTTTTTTTAATCCTTCACATTTATCATATTAACCAGGAAATATCTTTCAATTTTGATCATTCTGTATGAAATTTTCCTGACCTAACCCTTCTTACTTATGAATGCATTTTTTTCCTTTCAGGACATTCTTCCTAGGTTATATCTTTGAATTCTTTGTTGTTTTCCTTTATACTCTAAGGATGCCCGTTGTTCTCATGTTGAATAATGGTTTGTCTCAGTATCTTTCATCTTTACTTTAATCGCGTTGGCTTTTCATTCCACATTTTCTATGATTATCCCGGCTACCTCTCCATTCCATTTTCAGCCCCATTTATCTCTCCTTTGCCACTTAGGATTTATTAGATCTATACCAATGCTGTTTTGTTCCTCAATTTTTTCCTTAGCTCTGCTTTCATCTTAGTCAATTACTTTGTAATTTTTCTTTGAGATCTTGTCTTATTGAATTCACCTTCTTCATGAATCTTTTCTACTCAACATCCTTCCAACACTCAAAGAGAATCAGCATGTCTCCTTTGGATTTTATTTTCCTCCCATGGCCTTTTTGCTTGTTTATTTTGTCTCTTTCTTGCCTGCTGCCTCCCTCATTTTTGTTGCGATAGATTCACAGCATTTCTTTTCATTTTGCTCAACTTTAAGGAGCAGCTGTCTCTGAAATGGGGTGGATGGACCTTCCCGCTTTTATCTGGGACCATTTTGTCTTCCCTCCTCCAGGGTGTGATTTGAGAGCTGAATGTAGCTATTTGTTCTTCAACTAGAGAGTAGCGTTTTGAATTCCCTAGTTTGTTGACTAACTCTGCTTTGGGGCGGTGGAGTGGCCTTGGGAGCTGTACTCAGTCACATCTGAATCTCTTTCATTCCAGAGCTGCCAAACCTAAGAGATTATGGATCAAATAGTATCCCTTTCCCCCCTGATTGCTGCTGATGAATGATTGGCCTTAAAAACATAACCATTTCATCAGATGTGAGATGTTTCTGTGATCTTGTTTTATTCTGCTATCTTTCTGTGAAAGCTGGGTGTTAAAGGAAGAGTCAAGGAAAATGTTTTAAATTTTATTTTTAAATTACAGTTTACACTCAACATTATCTAAAGAACAAGGTAAACAAACAAATAAAACAGAAACACTCATAGATACAATCTGATGTTTGCCAGGAGGAAGGAGGGCTGGGGAACTGGGTGAAAAGGGTGAAGGGGTTAAGAAGTACAGATTGGCAGCTACAAAATAGTCACAGGGCTGTCAAGTACAGCATAGGGGATATATATTCTATATATTCAATAATATTCTAATAGCTATGCATGGTGCCAGGTACATACAGGAAATATGGGGGGAGCACTTTGTAAAGTATATATTTATCTAACTACTAAGCTGTGCACTTGGAATTAATACAAATAATATTAAAGCGTCAGGTATAGTTTTGTATGAATTGAATTTTGAAAAGAGATAGACTAGATCAATGTTAAAGTCTCTTTTAGCTTGACATTCTAAAACATGATACATATGTCAGCAGAGGTCACCCAACTATTACAAATGATCATGATCAAAACCAATTTTAAAAGAGGCATTTCAATGTTCTGAGCGCTAGAGGGCAGGCCATGGCCACAACTTGAAATGGTTCCATAACAGTAAATAGTTAACCATTGTCCAATGAGTTACATGGAGTCCGTTTAAACTTCTGCAAAAAGTGTGCAATGGGAAAGCTGGGAGGGGAATGGAGCCAGGATTATCTGGCAGGCAGGAGCTGCTACTTGTCTGCAAGATGAAGCCCATGCTTCTTTCTCTTGCCACCTGCATCCATCCCCCATTGGGAGCTACCGCCTGCCTGTTCCCCTAG